TTCATTGCTTGTCTTCCAATATTAGCTCTTTCCCCTGCAGGCTGTGTTCAATACAACTGGAGCTGCTGTCAAATGTTTGCATTGTTTCATCACTTTAGTGTCAATGATCACAATTGTGCAACCTAATCTAACTTGTTTTACTGTTGCTGCTGTTCTTGTGCTTTCTTGCATCTGTATGTCTGCACAGCAGTTCTCTGTATTTAAGTACATTTCTTGAAATTAGTTTCCTTGATAAGAACACATGCAGAGTATTATCTTCAACGCTGGATATTATCTGGACTATTACTCCACACTATTACTGTTACTGTATATGGCTCCAAACAGGCCCAGAAGTATTTGTCTGGTTGTTCCACTTTTAGTCACAATTCAGTTCAGAATATTTTTACTTTCAGTTATTGCTGCAGTTTATAACTTCAGCACATCCAGTCTGCACTAGCAGTGGAGGCAAAAGCAAGACAACCCCAAAAAAGGGAGTGGTTTTTGCATGTGGTGGCCCCAGACAAATGCTCTCTCCTTGTCCTTCCTGACTGATTCTTCTCAAGTTTTGTGTTTGCTAGTGTCGTTGTCACTATTGGTAGCATGAGGCAGTACCTGCGGCCCAATCAGGTTGCATAGGTAGTCCAGTTACTCCAACATGGCACATCCATATGTGCAGTCACAAGAAGGTTTGCTGTGTCTCCCAGCACAGTCTCATGAGCATGGAGGAGATACCAGGAGAGCTGGACAGGGCTGTAGAAGGGCAATAAAAGGACCAGTATCTGCTCATTGGGCAAGGAGGAACAGGAGGAGCACTGTGAGAGCCCTACAAAATGACCTCCAGCAGGCTGTTGGTGTGCATGTTTCTGACCAGACTGTCAGAAACTGACTCCATAAAAGCGGCATGAGGGCTTGACGTCCTCTAGTACGACCTGTGCTCACAGCTCAGCACCATGCAGCTCTATTGGCATTTGCCATAGAACACCAGAATTGGCAGATCCACCATTGGTGCCCAGTTCTCTTCACAGATGGCTGAAGTCCTCAGAGTGACTGTCAGACCTTATATTGGTGTGGTGGACCCTGGGTTCCTCCTGGTGCAGGACACTACCTGGCCTCATGTGGCCAGAGTGTGTAGGCAGTTTCTGGATGATGAAGGCATTGATGCCATTGAATGGCCCTCATGTTCCCCAAACCTAAATCCAATTAAGCACCTATGGGACATTATGTATTGTGCATCTGACGTCACCAAGTAACACCACAGACTGTCCAAGAGCTCAGTGATGCCCTGATCCAGATCTAGCAGGAGATCCCCCAGGACCCCATCTGCCGACTCATCAGGTGGGTGCCCAGTTGTGGCTGGGAGTGCATACAGGCGCACGAGGGCCATTCACACCTCTGAGTCACATTATGAGTTGCAGTGATGAAATTCAAGCAACTTGGATGAGCCAGTGGTTTCACTTTGATTTTTGAATACAGCCCTCCATGGATTGATGATTTTGGTTTTCATTGACTGTTGTTATGTCATTTTATTCTGAACAAATTATACACTGTGCATTATAAAGGTGTTCAACCTAATAATTTATTCATCAAGATCTGACATGTGAAGTATTCCCTTAATTTTTTGAACAGTTCATATAAAACAAAATGCCATGAGTCTGAACATCACAGGGAAACGGGCTTGTAATGCTGCAATAAACCTGCTAGATATATGCAGAAATAACAGGCTGGTTTGCTGTTACTCTGTACACCATTATAAATAGACAGATGTTAACATGTCTGTTTTGGAACAACTATTTCTTATGCTGCAAAATTCATTTTCTGGTACCAACCCATATTTCTTTCTCCTTCAGACTGCACTCCTATAGGACTGTGGCATTTGGCAGGAATATTGTCATAACTTATGATTTTAAATGGTATTAAGGTTATAGGATGCCTAAAATATGATTATGTTTCACAAACAATCATTGCCAAACAAAATACAGTATAAAACATAATAGGACTGTTTTATGTTTTAGGAAGTCAAATATAGCATGAAGTGATTTGCTTGTATTAGACATGCTAATTCTGTAGAATATCTTAGTATAATAATTATTTCAGATAGTTTTCTGAACTTTTTATCTATGTGATCTGGGGCTCCTAATTTTCTGTATCTAAATGTCAAAAGAAACTGTAATTGGTTCATACTTATTTTTTATTTACCCAGATTCTTTGATTCAGTTTTAATAGCAATAAATATTTTTCAGTATATCACAGTGGATCTGAAAAACACAGCAAATAGACTATAAATTAAATGCTGTGATGCAACACACTCTTTTTTTTCTTGCTGCATTGCTTGTCTTCCAATATTAGCTCTTTCCCCTGCAGGCTGTGTTCAATACAACTGGAGCTGCTGTCAAATGTTTGCATTGTTTCATCACTTTAGTGTCAATGATCACAATTGTGCAACCTAATCTAACTTGTTTTACTGTTGCTGCTGTTCTTGTGCTTTCTTGCATCTGTATGTCTGCACAGCAGTTCTCTGTATTTAAGTACATTTCTTGAAATTAGTTTCCTTGATAAGAACACATGCAGAGTATTATCTTCAACGCTGGATATTATCTGGACTATTACTCCACACTATTACTGTTACTGTATATGGCTCCAAACAGGCCCAGAAGTATTTGTCTGGTTGTTCCACTTTTAGTCACAATTCAGTTCAGAATATTTTTACTTTCAGTTATTGCTGCAGTTTATAACTTCAGCACATCCAGTCTGCACTAGCAGTGGAGGCAAAAGCAAGACAACCCCAAAAAAGGGAGTGGTTTTTGCATGTGGTGGCCCCAGACAAATGCTCTCTCCTTGTCCTTCCTGACTGATTCTTCTCAAGTTTTGTGTTTGCTAGTGTCGTTGTCACTATTGGTAGCATGAGGCAGTACCTGCGGCCCAATCAGGTTGCATAGGTAGTCCAGTTACTCCAACATGGCACATCCATATGTGCAGTCACAAGAAGGTTTGCTGTGTCTCCCAGCACAGTCTCATGAGCATGGAGGAGATACCAGGAGAGCTGGACAGGGCTGTAGAAGGGCAATAAAAGGACCAGTATCTGCTCATTGGGCAAGGAGGAACAGGAGGAGCACTGTGAGAGCCCTACAAAATGACCTCCAGCAGGCTGTTGGTGTGCATGTTTCTGACCAGACTGTCAGAAACTGACTCCATAAAAGCGGCATGAGGGCTTGACGTCCTCTAGTACGACCTGTGCTCACAGCTCAGCACCATGCAGCTCTATTGGCATTTGCCATAGAACACCAGAATTGGCAGATCCACCATTGGTGCCCAGTTCTCTTCACAGATGGCTGAAGTCCTCAGAGTGACTGTCAGACCTTATATTGGTGTGGTGGACCCTGGGTTCCTCCTGGTGCAGGACACTACCTGGCCTCATGTGGCCAGAGTGTGTAGGCAGTTTCTGGATGATGAAGGCATTGATGCCATTGAATGGCCCTCATGTTCCCCAAACCTAAATCCAATTAAGCACCTATGGGACATTATGTATTGTGCATCTGACGTCACCAAGTAACACCACAGACTGTCCAAGAGCTCAGTGATGCCCTGATCCAGATCTAGCAGGAGATCCCCCAGGACCCCATCTGCCGACTCATCAGGTGGGTGCCCAGTTGTGGCTGGGAGTGCATACAGGCGCACGAGGGCCATTCACACCTCTGAGTCACATTATGAGTTGCAGTGATGAAATTCAAGCAACTTGGATGAGCCAGTGGTTTCACTTTGATTTTTGAATACAGCCCTCCATGGATTGATGATTTTGGTTTTCATTGACTGTTGTTATGTCATTTTATTCTGAACAAATTATACACTGTGCATTATAAAGGTGTTCAACCTAATAATTTATTCATCAAGATCTGACATGTGAAGTATTCCCTTAATTTTTTGAACAGTTCATATAAAACAAAATGCCATGAGTCTGAACATCACAGGGAAACGGGCTTGTAATGCTGCAATAAACCTGCTAGATATATGCAGAAATAACAGGCTGGTTTGCTGTTACTCTGTACACCATTATAAATAGACAGATGTTAACATGTCTGTTTTGGAACAACTATTTCTTATGCTGCAAAATTCATTTTCTGGTACCAACCCATATTTCTTTCTCCTTCAGACTGCACTCCTATAGGACTGTGGCATTTGGCAGGAATATTGTCATAACTTATGATTTTAAATGGTATTAAGGTTATAGGATGCCTAAAATATGATTATGTTTCACAAACAATCATTGCCAAACAAAATACAGTATAAAACATAATAGGACTGTTTTATGTTTTAGGAAGTCAAATATAGCATGAAGTGATTTGCTTGTATTAGACATGCTAATTCTGTAGAATATCTTAGTATAATAATTATTTCAGATAGTTTTCTGAACTTTTTATCTATGTGATCTGGGGCTCCTAATTTTCTGTATCTAAATGTCAAAAGAAACTGTAATTGGTTCATACTTATTTTTTATTTACCCAGATTCTTTGATTCAGTTTTAATAGCAATAAATATTTTTCAGTATATCACAGTGGATCTGAAAAACACAGCAAATAGA